GAAACGTGGTCGTAGCTCTGAATCTCTCTCTCCCTTTTGTACTTTGAGTCTTCAGAACTTAGGTTTTAGACTCAGACCAGTTAGTGTCCTAGAGACATTTGCTTGCTTGCTTGCTTGCTTGCTTGTTGAGACAGGGTCTCCCTGTAGTTCCAGCTAGCCTGAAACTCACTATGTACATAGGCTAGCCTCTATCTCAGAGATCCACCCACTGCTGCCTCTTGAGTGCTGGGATTAAAGGCCATATGTGCGACCATACCTGACTCTGTGACTTTCAGCAATTCATTTCACCTAGTAAATGACATGTGATCAAATGACATGAAAATTCTACTGACCTTGTGGAAACTTTGTGAGGGTGAAGGGAGAGGATGTGGGTGGTGCACTTGCTATTCCTTTACAGCTGGATCACTCTGTCATAAGCACTCCCAAACCTACCTGGAAGCCAACACACATGCTGTCTTAAAATGTCCTAGCCCTGTGACCTTCACTTCTGTTCCACAAATCGAACTTTGAAGGCAACTAATCTAGAACTGGCTGGAATTCTTTTTGGAGGACAGGCATTTGACATGAAGATAGGATCAAGATGGTTTGAAAGAAGGAGCTCCATGAGCTGAAGGAACAGGAAATGCTGTCCTGAATGGAATCTGGGGAGAAAAAGTATCCTAAAAGGAAGCTGAGGAGATTGGAAGCAAATGCCAGGTTATAAACTCCTGAAATGTCAGTCTCCCAGGTATTCATTCAGATACAAGTGAGAGTAATTGTTGAGACTCATGGAAAGTCTTCTGGCTGTGCCCTCGGGAGAAACAGTGGCTGTTAAGTGTGATTTGGAGTTTCCTGAAGAGAGTGTCTCCAGGGTCCAAGCTCCAGGCTGACCTATTCCATCCTCTGTTGGGATGTGATCTCATCACCTCTGATGTTCAGCCTCTACTTGGAACCGGCACTTGTGACTTGCAAGGACACTTGTACATTGAGACCTTGGTATTTCTCCAAGCCCATGCACAAACAGGCCTTTGTGCTGCTTAGCGTTTCAAAGAGAAAGAATTGCATTTCATCTTTTCACTAGGATTTGACTGGAGATGCATTAGAGTGGAAGGACACTAAACTAAATGACAACTTTTTAAACTATTTTAAAAAAGTAGGAACTGCTTAGAGTTCTGAAAAACAGAGAAGTAAATTGAAATCAAAGTTCAGGCAGTTCAGTAATCAATAATTGCTTCCACTGATTTAATGTACCTGAAAGGTCCTTATGAGTATTCATCAATCCAAACTCAGAAACTTTAAAAATAAAAGGACTTTGCTTGGGGTTTTTGGAACTGCAATTCAGGAGATATAGGCTCAGACAGATAGCTATGAATCCATGTTCCCAAGAAAGGAGGAAAGGGGATTTACATGGGTTAGCAGTGTTGACAGATCACAAAGCAGTGAAAACTCCTCAGTGGGAAACTTCTACTGGAATGTTGAACAAGAACATTATGGACATTCTCTACCTTCTGGCTGGTGACCATGGAAGATAATGAAGTATAATGGAATGGAAATGTCCAGGAGTCTGATAACCTCAGGCTGGGGAAACGGTGTAGTTGATATGAAAAGTGCCTGCCCTACAAGCCTGATGACCTGAGTCTGGATCCCCAGAGCCCACATAAAAGCAGAATGCAGCAGTACATGTGTCTGCAACCCCAGCATGGGAGGTGGAAATGAGAGAGTCACTAGAAACTCACAGGCCAGCTAGCCTGGTTTATGCAGGAGTGAAAAAGAGACCCGGTCTCAAACAAGGTAGAAGGTGAGGAACATCAGAGATTGCCCACACACTGAGAAAGAGAGAGAGAGAGAGAGAGAGAGAGAGAGAGAGAGAGACTGATAGACTCTTGCTATGCATCACAGTGTAATTAACTGCCTGATCCTCCCATAAGGGGCAGGCACAGAGTGGAGGTGACCAATGATACCATTCCACGCAGCAGCTTGAGATGTGCATGATTCCTGCTCCCCATAGAAGATATTCTATTTTGAAAAGCTTTTGTCTTAATTTCCCTTTTATGTTCATTCAAGATTAAAGAGTGTATTCCTTTTTGAAAAAAAAAAAATGAGTCTGGAGAGGTGGCTCCACAGTTAAGGGTACATACTGCTTCCAAAACACCCGTATCAGGCAACTCAAAACTGCCTGTAACTCCAATTCCAGGCCTATCCAGAGCCTTTTGTGATTCCATATGAATTTTAAGATGATTTATTTCTAGCTCTGTAAAGAATGCTGTGGGTATTTTGATTAGCATTGTGTTAAATCTATAGATTGCTCTTGGTAAGATGATCATATTGCAATATTAATACTATCAATCCATGAGCGTGGTGAGCTTTTCTATATCCTAGTGTCTTCCTCTACCTCTTTCTTTAAAGACTTAAATTTTCATTGTAGAGATCTTTAATGTTTTTGACTAGGTTTATTCCTAAATATTTTGGGGGGTTATTGTGACTGGGAGGGTATGTTTGAATAATTTTTCTGACTGCTTGTTACTGGTACATAGAATGACTACTGATTTTTGTAAGTTGATTTTGTAACTTACCACTTTACTGAAAGCATTCATTATTTCTAAGAGTTTTCTGGTGGGATTTTTGTGATCTCTTAGGTATAGTATCATATCATCTGCAAATAATGATAATTTGACCTCTTCTTTTCAATTAGTACTCCTTTAATTTCCTTCTCTTGTCTTACTGCTCGTGCGAGAGTTTCAAGTGCTATATTGAAAAGGAGTGAAGATAGTGGACGGTTTTGTCTTGTTCCTGATTATAATGGGAATCCATCCATTTTTTCTCCATTTAGAATTATGTTGGCTATGGGTTTGTTGTATACACCTTTAATTTTGTTAAGGTATGTTCCCTCTAGACCAATTACTTCTAGGAACTTCTAGAACATGAATGCATGTTGGATTCTTGAACTCAAGAAGCAGCTACCTTTACATTTTTTATTTCCAATTTCCAGTTTGCCTATAAACAAGAAATGCCTTAAGTAACACTGGCAACAGTCACAGACAACTTCCACTTGCTTCTTAAGTCAATTCTCTCCTCTCCACCAGTCCCTGTACTCTAGGAAGCTGATCCATATGGACTCAACAATGGGCTACCTTGTTGTCTGGCTTCTGATTGGACTTTATCTATGGAGGGCTGCTACAGAGCTTGGAGGGAGGGTATAGACTGACCCTCCCTCACCCAGCAGTAACCAGCTGCCAATAGCTCCTCAGAAAAGGTTGGGGCCTCCTGCCCATTTCCCCAGTTCTATGCTGGTTTTTGTCTGGTTGAGTTTGCATAGGTCTTGCACATGCTGTCACCATTGTTGTACGTTCTTATGATCAAGTTCCCAGAAGCCTGGAAAACTCTTTTTCCCTTATCATCATCCACCACCTCTGGTTCTCACAATCTTTCTGCCCCACTTCTGCAATGGTCCCTGTGCCCTGGGTGGGTGAGTTTTAGTATGAATCCTATCCAATGACATGCACTTTGCAGTCTCTTATTCTCTACATTTTGGCCAGTGACAGCCTTCTGTATTCATCACCCTCTGTTGTATGAGGAAGCTTCGTGGTGAGAGTTGAGACCTCTACCCCTAAGGCTCAGGAAACATAGTGGAACTGTGGGTAGAGAGAATACTAATGAACCTCACATTCTAAATTTTAAAGTGGTTTTTTATTGATTGGTTGACTTATTTTTTGAGACAGGATCTTACTAGGTAGCTGTCTTAATTTGCTTTCTATTGCTATGATAAAACCCAAACAATACCAGCTTGGGGAGGAAAGGGCTTATTTTGCCTAAAGGTTACAATCCACTACCAAGGAAAGTCAAGGCAGGAACTCGAGGCAGGAACCTGGAGGCAAGAGCCGAAGCAGAGAATGTGGAGGAGCACTGCTTGCTCCCCCAACTTCCTGGCTTGCTCCCCTGACTTGCTCTGCTGTTTTTCTTATAGCCCAAGCCCACCTTTGCAGGAACAGCACTGCTCAGAGTGGGCTGGGCCCTCCTACAGGGTTAGCATCATGAACACGGCTTACAGACACACCTGTAGCCAGCCTGATCGAAATATTCCTCAGTTGACATTCCCTCTTCCCAAATGACTCTAGTTTGTGTCAAGTCGACAAAACTAACCAGCACAAGTAGCCTAGGCTGGCCTCATATCTTCAGTGTAGCCCAGGCTAGGCTTGAACTCAAAGTCCTTCTGTCCAGCCTCTCAAGTGCTGGCAGCAAAGGCATGTGCCACCATTCCAAACTTTTTCATTCATTACATTGACCCCAAGTCTTTAGTCATAGTATTTTTGCTACATGTTATAATTAAGCCACCACTCTACTAAAGTACTTAAAATACACAATCATTACATTAAAAGATAATAGATAATAAATCTGATTATTGTCATTTTAGTAAGGTTTTAGAGAGTCTTATGATCATTAAAGATATATTGAATGTGAAATGAGCTCAAAAATACTTCCCCAGGTCAGATTCTCTGAGATTTTTTAGAGAGGTAAATAATGTCCAATCTGGTTATCACTAATTGCTATCACAAACTAATATTTTTATTCACTATTCACCTTCCTTAGCACTTATTTTATGCATGCTATACGACCAGGATTGTATAGACACACTTATGTGTTAGGATAGGTCGTGCCCACAATGCAAGCCTAGCTGAGATGATTAAACAATAATCAGATAAAATTGGCAGGCAGTGATTTAAAGCATGAGTTTCTGTGACCACACCCCGTGTCATAGGCATGACAGTATTAGTCCTACTACGTGGATGTGGACGCCGAAGCTCAAATATTCTCAACTCTACATTACTTGTCAGTAGCATTGGTGACACATGAACCCAGCTGCAACACTGCAACACTGCCCAGAGGAGCAGAAATGTGTTGAAAGCAAAACATTCAACAAGATTCCTAAGAAATGGAATTTCACACTGGAAAGATGAAAGGCAGCTCCTGGCAGAGGCGACATTAGAGCTGGAATTCCAAGTGCTTCTCAACTGGCGGCCACAGTCTCTGTGCAGTGCATGATCTCACACCAGAGATGAAGAGGTTCTGATGTGGAAGAGTCTCCCCAGAGCAGCCTTCATGTCCCGGTTCCTCAGACTATAGATGAAAGGGTTTAACATTGGAGTCACAGCTGTGTACATCACAGTTATCACTGAATCCTTTAGACTGTAACTGGTCAGGGGCCGGAAATACATGCCCATGACTGTCCCATAGTACAATGACACCACAGTCAAGTGAGATCCGCAGGTCGAGAAGGCTTTGAGCACGCCCTTAGTGGAAGGAACCCGTAAAACAGTGGAAAAGACCCGGATATAGGAGATGGTGATGCATAGCAGTGGCACAGAGAAAACGCCCACCCCAAAATACATCATCTTTACATTGAAGTGGATGTCAGAACAGGACAGCTTGAGCAAAGGGGTAATGTCACAGTAGAAGTTGGCAACTTCCTTGTTGCCACAGAAGGACAGCCTAGCTGTGAGCAGGGTGTGGGCAAGCGAATTGGCATTTCCAACCACCCAAGACCCCACAACCAGCAGGACACAAGGCCAGGGACTCATAATTGTTGTATAGTGAAGCGGGCGGCTAATGGCCATGGCTCGGTCATATGCCATTGCAGCCAGTATGTAGCTGTCTACATTAGCCAAGGCTATCATGAAGTACATCTGTGTCAGACATCCCCCAAAGGAGATGGCTTTGCTACCCAGGAGATGGTTGGCCAACATCTTGGGAACAGTTACAGAGGAGAAGAAGATGTCAACAAGGGAGAGGTTGGCAAGGAAAAAATACATGGGGTTGTGAAGGCGAATGTCAGAGCGAATGGCCAGGATGATGAGCGTGTTTCCAACCACTGTGACGGGGTAAATGAACAGGAAGAGGCTGAAGACGAGATCTTCCTGTTCCTGCTCCCTGGTAACCCCCAGGAGGGTGAAATCCGTGGTGTGAGACTGGTTTTCTTTCATGGCTCCTTTAATGTGAAAGTCGAAATGAACCCAGAGTGATTAGTGCAGTTACTATGTTACAATCTCCCATGTCCAACCTTTGACTCAGATGATCAGCTATCTGTCTACACCTGAATTCATGAAATTCAGAGGAACCCTAGATTTTGGGAAAACACACTGATGAGTTGTTTTGGTGGTCATTTACAACCCTGCACATTCCCAAGGAATGAGGGCTCTGAATCAGTTCTCATTTTTCACTATCAGTGCTACCACACAACGACCTAAGATTTGATAATTTCATAAATAAAGTGCATATTCAATAGCCTAGAGTTATGGCTAGACTTCAGAAGGAGAGCATAAATATGGGACAAATATAGATTATTCCTTGTTCATTCAAAATATAAGGCATAGATAGTCTCTGTCCATAAGAACCTAACAATTTCATGGAGAAGAAAAAAATCAGAGTCTCATCTTATTACGCCTAATAAGAAATGACATTTTGGATTATTCAATGATGTACTCTGATACAAACTTTCTCTCAGAGGGTCCAGCCTGGAAATTTGTCATTGATCCACTTTGACTGAACACAAAGTGATTCTATAGCCCCGGATATAATGTATATACAATGGAATTAGAATATTGTAAATCATAAGGATCATTAGCTCAAGTCCTACTAACCTAAGCCCAGTAAACGTTGTTTGCAGGTGTCCCATTTGCAAAACAGACTTTCTCTGTGTCCTTTACCAGTCTCTCAATTATACCTACCTGTGGCTCTTTCTCTCCAGTCTTCTTGGTCTTTGTTATTTCTTTTGACTAGCTCTACTTCTTAGTAAGGTCCCCAGTCTATTTCCGTTGACTCAATTTTCTCATAACCCCCACTCAGTCATCCTTCTACATGGCTGAACTAGCCATATCCTGTATGTCCAACCTAAGAGGAAAACTGTGAAATTGAGGAGAAGCAAGAACTAAGATCATGTATCAGTGACTTCTAACTACTGATAAATTATCACACAGTATAGTTCATTTCATGCTCCAGTTTGTCTTCAACATTTCTTGAGTGAATTCTGGTTTCTTTTTTGCATTCTCCAATGTGGGTTGCTCACAAACTAAATACCAATTAATCCTTTGGCTACTTCTGTTCTTGATTATTTGTGTAAATTAACTGTTACGCTGTTCAGCCTTTATACTTTCTACCTCAGTGCTTTAGTGGGTTACATCATCATGTTTTCCTTCCTCGGTGTCTTAATGTTCTTTACCTGCTTCATTCTCTTTTGCAGTGAGGTGCAGTTATACGACTGAGTTCTTGCCAATCCAGTTATTTGTTGTAGTTCTGGGGTTTCTCTATACTCTAGTACTGACTAGAAATGTTAGAGAAACTGAATCGGATGACACAGTCACATAGTAAGGTGAATGTGATGGCTAATCTTGGTTGTCAACTTGACTGGATCTGGGATTAGCTAAAATGAGAGAGACCTTCTGGATCAGATTATTTGAAGTCAGAAGACCCACCCTAAATGTGAACATGGCCTTCTGATGGAAGTCCACATAAAAGTTCATGGCAGAAGGGAGCTTTCACTTTTTGCCTACTTGCCTTCTCTTTCACTGGCAACTTCATCTTGTTGCCGTGGCATTCCTTCACTCATAGAACCAGTCTTTTTATTCCAAGGTATATTGAAGACTAGCAGACCTCCAGGAATCCTTCAGGCCATCAGCACCAGATTGAGACTGCTGAGACATCCAGTCTCATGTAGTGAGAAACTGTCCGATTCTCAGCCTCTCCAGTGTTGTACAGCCATTATTGGAGTACTCAGACTCTATCCTGTAAGCCAATCTAATAAATCTGTGTGTGCGTGTGTGCGTGTGTGCGCACGTGTGTGTGTGTGTGTGTGTGTTATTCATTTGTCAGTACTCTTCCTTTAGAGAACTCTGACTAATACAGATTGTGGTACCAGTATCATGGAAAACAGATTCCAGTCAAGATATTATATCCAGGAAAATTATCTGTTGTAATTGAAGGATAAACTAAAACTTTCCATGATTAAAAAAAATGATTTAAGGGATTTATGTCCACAAAACCTTTCTACAGAGAATAATAAACGGAATACTTCAATATAAAGAGAAGAAAAACTCTGAAGAAGACAAAAAGAATAAACAAATTATCCCAGAACAGTCAAAAAAGAGGTTTAAGAAAACAGTACTATAGCACCAACATAATAGAAATTAATAAGCATTGGTCAATAATAACCCTCAATATCAATGGGCTCAATTCCCCAGTAACAAGAAAGACTAACTAGATAAGAAAACAGGATCGTGCTGGAGAGATAATGCAGCCATTAAAGGCTAAGGCTAACAACCAAAATGTAAGAAAACAGGATCTATCAAGTTTCTGCCTCCAAGAAACACACCTCAAAAACAATGATCACCACACACCACCTTAAGTTAAAAGGATGGAAAAAGATAGTCCAAAAAACAGAACTAAGAAACAAAAAGATGTAACTATTCTAATATCTGACAAAATAGACTGCAAATTAAAATTTATCAGAAGAGACAAGGAAAATCATTTCAAAATCATTAAAGAAAAAATTCGCCAGGAATATATCATAATCCTAAACATTATGTGCACCACACATAGGGGCACCCAATTTCATAAAAGAAACATTATTAAATCTAAAATCACACATTGACTCCAACACAATGATAGTTGGTGACTTCAAAACCCACTGTCACTAGTAGACAAGTCAGCCAGAAAAACTAAATAGAGACACCCTGGAGTTAAATGACACCATAAATCAAATGGACCTAACAGACACCTACAGAACATTCCACCCAAACACCAAAGAATACGCTTTCTTCTCAGCAGCCCATGGAACTTTCTCCAAAATTGGCCACACATTAGGACACATAGTCCTAATAAAAGTCTCGATAAATTTAGGAAAATTGACATATCGTCCTGTATTCTATCTGACCGCAAAGGAAAAATGCTAAATATGCTGGATATCAACAGCAATAAAAATGGGGAAAAATACACAAACTCATGGAAACTAAACAGCATACTAATGAATGAAATTTGGATAAAGGGAGAAATCAAGAAGGAAAGCTTAAAATTCCTATAATTGAATGAAAATTAAAATACAACATACCAAACCCTATGGGACAAAATGAAGTCAGTCTTAAAAGGAAAATGTATAGCATTAAATGCCAGAAAATAAAAAACATATCAGATAAATAAATTAATGGTGCATCTTGAATGCCTTAGAAAACCAAGAACAAATGGCCCCTTAAAAAGAGTACACAGAAAGAGAAAAATAAAATCAAGGCTGAAATTAACTAGAAACAAAGAACATAATACAAGAATCAAAGAAAGAAAGGTGCTGGTTCTTTGAAAAGATTAACACAATTGACCATCCTTTAGCCAAATTTTCCAAAAGAAAGTGAGAGGACCCAAATTAGCAAACTCAGAAACAAAAAGGGAGACCGTAAAACAGACACAGAGAAAATCCAGAAAATCTTTAAGGAAATACTTTAAGTCTATATTTCACTAAATTAGAAAAACCTAAAAGAAATGGATGAATTACCAGATATGTACATCCTATGAAAGTTATATCAAAACAACATAAATAATTTAAGCAGACCCATACCAATCAATGAGATAGTGTAGTAATTAATCTCCCAACTAAAAAGAGGACAGGACAAGATGGATACAGTGGCGACTTCTACCAAACTTTCAAAGAACTAATACCAATACTCCTCAAATTATTCCATAAAATAGAAAAGGAAGGAACACTCCCAAATTCATTCTACAAAGCCAATATTATTCTAATACCAAAACTACACAAATGTTCAACAAAAAATGAAAATTATAGCTCAATCTCTCTGATGAACAGTGATGCAAAAATTCTCAATAAAATACTCTCAAACAGAATGCAAGAACACATCAAAAAGATTATCTACCAAGATCAAGTTGGCTTCATCCTAGGGATTCAGGGATGATTCAACATACATAAATCAAAAAAAAGTAATCTAAGACATAAAAAATTCAATGCTAGAAACCACATGATCATCTTATTAGATGCAGAAAAAGCCTTTGACAAAATCCAATATCCAATGCAGATGAGGATGTGGAGCAAAGGGAATTCTTATCAGTCTGCTGGCGGCAGTGCAAACTGGTGCAGCCACTATGGAAACCAGTGTGGAAATTCCTCCAAAAGTTCGATTTTGATCTATTGTATTATCCAGTCAGACCACTCTTGGGCCTTTACCTAAAAGACTCTATACCCTACCACAGAAATATCTGTTCAACCATGTTCATTGCTGCTCTTCTCATAACAGCCAGAAATTGAAAACGACCTAGATGTCCACCCACTGATAAATGGATAATGAAGGTGTGCTACATATACACAATGGAATATCATTCAGCTCTTAAAAAATAAAATTATGAAATTCACAGGTAAATAGATGGAACTAGAAACAATCAACCTGAGTGAGGTAAATTAGAACAGGGGGAAATTAGAACATTAGAGAAGAAGGAAAGAAGGAAGGGTTAAATGGTGTGGAATGGGAGCACAGGGCAAAGGAAGGAGTATGGGGAGGAATAACCAACATTAAAGGCCTTTAGAAAAAGTCATATGGGAACCTGCTTAAGCTTCTTAAGGTGTATATATATATATATATATAATATCATTAAAAGAGATTAGAAGCAGTCACCTTGTAACAGGGGGACATCGCCCCTTCTAGACATCATAGGCTGTCAAAATAAAACCTCAATGCCACGAATGGACTCCCTCATAGAAGTTGTTGACCGGGAGTCTCATAGACCCTCAAACAGTATAGTACTTCAAGTCATAGCCACAGGATCAAAGAGATACAAACAGGAAAGACGTCAAAGTATCGTTGGTTGTAGATTATGATTTCTATACAAAAGAGATCTTACAGATTCCACCAAAAACCTCCTACAGCTGACACACTTTCAGCAAAGTGAAAGGATATAAAATTACTTGGAATAAACCTAACCAAAGAAATGA